CCATAAAAGACCCCCACCCAAACCACTACAATTTTGGGATGCACCTGCATGATATTTATTAGGAATAAAGACTTCTGAGTTCTGGTGCATTTGTGCATGTGGGGGTCATTATGTTACTGCTATGCGGTGTCTAGTTAAAACTGAATCTATTACAAAAATAAATATTTGAAAGCACAACAGTAAGGTAAAACCAAATCAAATCAATAGAAAGCTCCTGGAAAAATACCTTAGTATCATTTTATGTTTTAATTGTATAAATGCCCATTTGTTTACCTGGACTTAAACTCATACGGCAGCCAGCCTGTGCTGTTTTAGCTTCAACTTCTATGTTCCATTTTTGTTTCTAGTAATAATGTATATTTATTATTTAAACAGTAGAGGTGGTTTTAAACTATTCTAGTTTTGAAAAGCCATTTTTAGGTGAAGTCTAATGTTTACTCTTGATCTTCTGTAAATTATGTTTGAGTCAAAAGATCAAAATAGTTTTGCAGCCAAGTGATGATTTGATTTGCACCTGAGCAACATTTAGGATGCTGTATCAGGTGTGTCACATGAAAGTCAGTTCAGTCTTACCTTTGAAAAATTATTTTCTTAATATAAATTTAAACCTGGTTTTGGTCTTGACAGGTAACGAATCTAACGGTTCGAGAGTGTGTGAGAGGCAGAGTTGTGAGTCGCCATAGAGACGGTCACTAATCTTACCCCTGGCTTCCTGCCCAGCATGCATCACTCCCACTCAGCCACTCTCTCTGTTTTTCTTCATCTCCCTCTTTTTTGTTCTTTGTCTTTCTTTGTCTTGTTATGTAAAAAAAGACAGTTTTTCTTTTTCTTTTTTTTCTTTCTTTTTTTTTTTGCTGTCCATACTGAAAAATAGGTTTAAAATTTGCCAGAAAAGGTCATGCAGCCAACGTCAATTGCTTCAAAACGTCTGCAAAAAGTGTCTTTMAGTGAGCTGTACATGATGGGCTGTATCTGTACAGTAAATACTAAACCTTCTAATGATATGTTTGAGTTTCTGCAATTCTTGTCAAACAAAGAAAGAGAAAGCATGTGTAGAATGTGGACACCAATGCAACAGGYTAATGAGGAAACAAGTGGATGTTACTAGGGTTCATATAAAGCCTGTGTAGTGGTCACCTAGGGGTGGAATAAACGTTCCATCTGGCTTTGACCCTGATTTCAGAAGGCCTCCTTTAAAGAGACAGAACTCTGTTCGAGTTAAAGTCATAATATATTTTCTTAAATAGTAAAGAGACATTTTAGTTTTATTTTATTTAATCAAGATAATAAACAAAATAATAATGTTCTTTATATTATTGGTGATTTTTATTTCCTTTTAACTAAAAGT